TCCACATCTTAACTCACAAAGAGCAGACTTTCTTTGCGGGAGTGCATTTTATGTTCTTTGATTATGGTTTCTCTGGCACCAGATAAGACCCTCTTTCAACTTATAATTACTCAAGAACGACAGAAGCCTAAAAACGTCTTCAACATAAATATTCAACAAATTATTCTCAGCAGTACATGAAAAGGTTTAGCACAAAAGTAATTTCTCAGACAGATATTATACCTCATTTTTGGACCTAATTGTCTCGAAGGACCTTGAACTCAAGCAGCCGCTCCCACAGACAAAAAGGAACCATTTAGGACGGAGGACTGTTTGAAAGTTGACTCCTGGCTGACCCGGGACATGCTAGACAATAACATGTCTGAGCTGACCTTTAAGTGCTAAAGAAAAGCAGGAGAAAGCTGGGAATAAATTCTAAGGGGAAGGATGTAGGTGTCTGTCTGCTTGCCCTGTTGCGTTTGCAGTCCTGACCCAGATAAACTGTCTAACTTTACTGTCAGTCTAACTAAGGCATGGATTTTCAGAAAATGAAACTGGAATATACAAAATCCCAGAAACAAACATTAGTGGTAAACCAGCATCATTTGCAGTGTTGAGAAACAAAACAAAACATCTAATATAGTTGAATTAGCAACAAAAAGTAAACACATTGAGAGGGAGAAAGAAATGCTTGTTTGGCATTTACTGCATCCCTGCGCACCCCATATATAATCATTTGAAAGTTCAGAGACATTGCAGTCGTTCGGCATTGTTCCATTATGAAGAACACGAGCAAGAAAATATTCATTACCACTGAAGAAAAGAACTACTGCATTGACAAGCTGAATCAAACTTCCTGAAATCAATACGAGAACGTTAAAATGCCCAGAGGCTCATCAAAGCTTTGACAGCACAAACAAAAGTCATACCAAGCTAACTTTTACCAGTCCTGTTGTAAAAAAAAGAGTGAGAAGGTACGCGCTGTGGTGTCTTACGATATGCTTGCACACAGTTACGAGCATGTGAGCCTGTCCTGATGAGAAAAAGAGGATGATGCATTGCAGACGCCTGACAGCCAAACACTCAGCGAAGAAGCAATCAGTGAAGATGTGGTAAAAGATTCCAAAAGTGTTGCTCTGATCCAAAACAAATGGTGTAATACAATGTAATGTGGCGGCATAGAGGTGAAAAAACATGTTCAAAGCCGTCTCACTGCACAACACTTAAAAGTAGGCAGCATAAGTCATTCATCTTCAGGTTGTCTAAATGATCCTGATGGATGCGCTGGTGGACTGGTAGCTCTCCCTGCTCGTCCGTCACACAGCCTGGGTTGAAACTGTTGGAATAGATAAAAATTTCTCCTGGTGTGAGCAACAAACAAGTTCCTGCTTTTCCAATTTACTGGATATGTGCTGACATTGCTGTTTGGAGTTATAACCTGGAAGAATGTGCATCTGTGATTTTGTGTCTCACCTTTTTTCCTCTGATAGCTGGAAAATTCAAGGCCTACTGGGCAGCACTTGTGGCATGAATACAAATAGTGGCCTACTGTCTCAATATCTCTAAAACAGTTGCTGTACTGTGTTCACTGAAGACATCAAATGAATTCGCTTCAGATTATGACTTAATATCAGTATGACAAATACTGCTGAAGGATAATAATGTCAAAACTAGACCTCTGACAAACTTCTGGTCCACATATCTGTATTGAGAAAAAACCTGTGTGGACAAAAAAATCATTCCAGATGTGATGTAGAGCTCAATCTGTTCTGTTACATCTCGCACATTATTACCCTCTGCCTTACAATATGTGTTTTTGCTGGCCTTGGCATCTAAGTGATCAATGAAGCAATGACTGTGAGGCCGTTCTAGGACAATGAACATCTCAATTAAAACCCCATGGTCTGCTAAGTGACTCCATTTATTATTCTCTTCCCCTGGTCACCCAAATATGGCAGAGCAGGCTTAGCTGTGGTCAAACTCCATTTATATTAATCTGCGGCACAGGCTGTGTAGGATAAGTTAATATAGTGTGTTTATAGAGAAATGGATCTACTCAAGCGGAAATTGTGTAATGAATGACATGATAATGGGTTGCAGAACTTTATACGGGTAATGTCCTCCTCTATTTTGTAGTCGTATGATGTATTTCGAAGGCCCCAATCACACTGAGACGCATTGGTAGAAATGTGTCTCTTCAGCAAAAGCATTGTTTCCAATTATACAGCACCTGGCATGTGCTCCTCTCTTGCATGGCGTTAACGTTAAAATATTCTCACTTTTCACCCCAATATTCGAAGACTAGTCTACTAACACACGCATGAGTTATGCAGGAGCAGCCAGGTCAATCTCTCTGGTGAGTACAATCCCGTACTTTGCTGATAAATAGACTAGCTTGCTAGTTGGCTGTTGGACTGGCAAAGAGGTACAGAGTATGGGAGAGGGAAGAGGGAATTCATGTCTCATGTCATGATAGTTTCATGTAGGCTACTGTATTTGAGAGAGAGCCCACATGTAAGGGGGGGCATTGGAGAGATGACAGAGTTAGTTTGTGCTGCCCGACACGCTTTGCCAAGGTGTTTTTGAAGTGGCCATGAACTTTGCGGCACATCTCAGCGTGATCAGGGTCAAACAGGTTTTATACAACAACATCAGAGTTTAGCTACTTGATGTGCTGGACAGCTGATAGGCTCGTCTAACCAGTGTAGCTTTTGAGATCGTCATCTCGTGGTTTCCAAAGATGGAAAATCAGCTACGGTACAGGTGGTTCAAGGTTTTTTTTTATTCTGAGGTTTCCTAAAGAGCAACCAAACTAATACTGTTTAGACAAAGTACTCAATAAAAAGAACGTTTTTCTTACTCAGCACACCTACAGTAATTGGACTCTGTCCATGGGGAAATATGTCCAGCCATTTATTTAACATGATCAATAATTAATAACTACTGACACTCACATTAAGGACCACCATTTTGCACCCACACACAGCAACCTCTAAGTCAGTATAAAGCAATGCTATGTTTTTAATCAACCAAACCTTTGAGGACAATAAAGGAAATTACTGCGGAATATATACTCATCATGCTATCATCAAATGGGAATTGCAATGTGACCTAAACGACCTGCCAGTAGCTATGGAAACCAGCCGATGTACTCCTCTGGGCAGATACAGTGGATGGATTCCTTAAGGCGAAACAAGCCTATATTTATTGGTATGATTGGAAAGCTGAAGCCAACTCCATCTTTAATAGGGCAGCCTCTTGATGGAGAGACTCTTCCATAGCTGCCTCCCACCCCCCCTACTGGTTCTGTCTGTCTCTAAGGTCAAGGAGACAGAAGAAAGTAGGCCATGGCTTTATCTATCTACTGTATGTGAAAAGTCCCCCCCTTTCTGCAATACATACAACAACTAGGTAAGAGCCACTGCAAGTCCCGCATGTTCAGAAGCATGTTGGAATTCATTAGCATGTTCATATAGCACCTCTCTCGGGCATTGCACCATCTCACCCATGCAGCGTGATAATCAACAACTTACTTGACAGCTCGAAGCTTACTTAATGCAAGAACAGAACAGGAGCCATGGAGAGCAAGGCTGTCGGTTTTTGCTGCTTGTGTCTTCGCATCATTTGTAGAGTTCACCAGTAGTAAAAAAAGGCACACAGTGAACTGTATGGTCCGATGATAAGCAATCGCAATGCAGCCTTACTGACACATGTAACTAACCCTTAGCACCAGTTTGATGTATATGTGCCAGATATCAGTGTGTGCCACTGCTGCTAACCTTTGTCCTGTTTTGAACTCCTCATGGAGTAATCTGCTGGTAATCCACTATAATCCGAGATTTAATCTTGTTAATACCATTGATTCTATCTGTTTTATTAGAAAAGCTCTTGGTGTGTGTGTGGGTGCCGAACAAAAGGGAAACCAAAATCCATTACGCTTTGCGGCATGATACAGGTACAGAAGTGATGAATAATGCTGCGTGCATACAAAGTATGGAACAACTTCTGCTTCTGGGGATGAGTTCAGAAGGATTAGGCTTCAGCATACTGCTTTACATCACTGCTGTGCTTTTTACTATACACCTTCACCAAAATCTGAAACCTACTGTGGTCAAAATTAAGAATGGGACGATACATGATTTTATCATGGTAAAAAGCACTCACAGGAAGTGGATCGTGGTGAATTTCCTTTATCAGGATGATCATGAATATCGTGTCCAGCAGCATCCAAGACTGCTGGGCAACCAACAATAAAAGAAACTCTATAAAAAACAGACTTCATACACACCAGCCTTAAAAATGACATGATGATCATGAGATATGGCTTTTAAGATTGCTCTTTTCGATAAAGAAAAATGTGTCCTACTTGTGATACAATAAAAATATTTGTTTTTCAAAAACATCTGAGCTAAAGCGTAAAATTCAAAGAGTTCTACAAACATTTTGATGCTTAGCGTAAATCAAAATTACTTTGGCAAGGACAATCGTGACCAGGCATTTTCAATCGTCCTGTGCCTACTCAAAATTACTCTGGTTGCAGAGGCATGATGACAGCAACACTGAGCTGACAGAGCCAATGAGTTTGTCTAATGCTTGAATACATTTAAAAATTGCTTTCAGTGGCAAAAGACTGCATAACAAGCTTTTTGATCACTTTTTTTCCCATTTTAAATGATTTCACCTTTGCCTCTGGACACAGTCTGTGTCTGTCCTTTCACACTTACACACACTCACACAAATTATGATGCAAAGTGGGTAATAAATCCAACACCACTCTGGAAATTCTCACAATGCTCTGGCAGGGTTTGCAGGCATTACTGTACACACAGCCTAAATAATGCGAGGTATTGGTGGTATGAAAGTGTCCTCACAAAGCCCTGTGTGTCAAATGTTAACTTTGTGAATCAAGTGGAGAGGTTTGACCAAACTGCCAAGAGGATAACACCAAAATCCCTGCAGATTTAAGAGAATCACTGCAAATGGAGATGGGGAGTCTCTCAAAAGTCCACCACGAGCCTTACCGGTGTTGAGCGTGCCTGTGACAAGTCTGAACAGGTACTGAGCGAACTTGAAGATCTCCCGCTTGCATCTTTTCCTGCAGCTCATCTTTGTTCCTGGAAGGGGAGGGGGGCTTGGAAAGGTCAGCACAAAAAGGAGGACTCCTGCCTCAGGGTGAAAAAGAAAAAAAATAACAATCCAAGACTTTCAGTTTGACAAAGTCCCGCGACAGGGTGAGCGTCCTCTTCTCTCCTCCACTCCTCTGGTTGTGTCAGCGTGGCCCCTGTGTCTGCGTGTTGTGGGAGTGATGATCATGAGTGAGTGGAGAGCAGCAAGGGGGGCTCGTCTTGCGTGTGTGGCTCTGTGTGTATATGTGTCCGAGCTCCTCTGTTGCACCGCTCCGGGGTAAGGCTGTCTGATGTGTGCTTTTTTTGTCAGGTCATTAATATTTGCTTACCGGCGGTTTACCTCCTGCTCTCTGGGGAAGGTAAGGGGCTTGTTTCTTTATTTCTTCCTCCAAACACTCTCTCCTTCTCTTCAGACTTTTTTCCTGCAACTCCTCTGAGGCAAACACGCTCCTACTCTTCTTCTTGTGTTACTAGAGAACAACTCTGTTGGCTTCACAATACAGTGGTTATCCAGCGAGTCTCTCTGTGTCTGTCTCTCTCAGACACACAAACAAACACACACTCCCACACTTGATCTCGTAGTGTGCCTGCTGCTCTCTCTACTCAGCACCATCTGTGGATGTTTTACACTCACTGACGGTTGCCATGGAGGTGTGGCCTGATTGGCCCGAGAAGAGGAGGAGGAGGAGAAGAAGAGGAGAGATAGAAAGCACCCAAGGAGGAGGAGGAGGAGGAGGAGGAGGAGGAGAGAAATAAAGGAGAATTAAGGGGAAAGTGTCCACCAATGAATCAGCAATGACAGTACATTATGGGCCTGCCGCATCATGTGTAATTGAAGGTTAAAACAATGAGTGACAGTAATGGACGACGTTAATGGTACATTGTGGGCTCTTGAGAGGGAAGTGGTTGAGGGAGTGATGAATACACTGTAAAAATAAAAAGTCTCGAGACAGAAGAAGGGTAGAGAGAAAAGCTGTGGAGCCCAGGTTGGAGAGATTTCCTACGACCAAATGTCAAGGTCAGTACTAATAATGACTGACAGACTACGCCCAGCGTCTGTGATGACATTAGGACCAGCCAAGTGCATCATCTTCTCCACTAATTAGCCCACACTGTACCTCAATTGCACTCATCTATCAATGCCAAGCTCTCCCATCTGAAACGCCTGTCATTAACTCAAACCTTTAACTGTCTGTGCTCGTATAACTGCAGCAAATTTGCTTGAGAAAACACTGATTTGTTCACATTTTCTCATTATTGCACGTCCGTCAGACTGACAGGCGCTGGTATGAAATTATACTGAGCTCACATTTGCTCGGAGTTGATATTCCACAGGTCACTTGACAGAAAAGGCAGGTCTATTTTGGTGAATCCTGCTCTGTATAGAGTCTTTGCAGACTCTGACCTTGGAGTTCTTGTCGGTGTGTTATGCACACACACACACACACACACACACACACACACACACACACACACACACACACAGACACAGACAGACACACAGGAATGAGCAGTGAGGTTCCACAGGCAGGAATAAAAAGTGTGCTCGGAGAAAAATAAAGATTTCAAGGACTTGAAATATAGTGTGAGACTTCTTACTGGGTCAGAGCGGCGCAGAGAACTAGTACAGTGTCTCGATTAGGTGAATAATTTACAAGGTATCTGTGGGGTGTAGCAGTGCTTTTGTGAAATGACTTGCTTTCACAGACTTTGGCAGGGAGCATCACTGACAAATTTGAAAAGACAATGACTTTTTAAACTTGCAATTGTTGTTGGCAAAGGAAAAGTTTCTTCTTCAATTGATCATTTACAGACACAAGCTTCTCAACACTAGCCACCAAACATTAAATTTTAGCTTACTATCAGATGATCTCCACCTTAATGAGCTACTAAAAACTCTGTCCAATCGACTCCTTTTGAGACACTGTGAAAGGGTCTTAACTAAGCACTTATTGGCTATATACAGTATCACTTTAAAAGACTAAGGTCATAATCTGTAGGCAATGGGAGAAGACTGAAAGCTTTTTGTTTTCCATTGTAGTCCAATTAGTCTTGACCAATCATGTTTGAGCAGGCTTTGGTTGCTTGCAGTTTAACAGTCCGTGTGGAAAGCAAAAGAGGTGGAATGCAATGGCGGAGATGCAGTCTTGGAACCCATTGGCTAACGTCTGACAATGATTTAGATTTTTATGAGCTCTTTTCTAATTAATATGCATTCATATGCAGATATATGTACAGCAAAAATGTCATCTGGACCTGTCTCAAGTTGCTAACCAAACTGGAAACAGTGAGTGTCGGAAACCTTGACCTGGATATCTGCTGGCTTCCCCTGAACCCCCGAAATAATGGCTGATTTATATCTTATTGTTTGTATTTTCAGCATATTTTACTTTTAACTAGGGCTGGACCCCAACATTTGACTATACAGGAATTTGTCCATTGGGTTGGTTTTATATTTTCAATTTTGCGATTCAGTTATTCTGATTTTTATTCCTTCAAATCTTGAATTTGTTGGAGCTATGTTGAGTGAATCAATAAGCTACTTCCAACTCTACAATGGAATACAATTTCACCAATTGTAAATAGTGAAAAAAAAAAAAGTCAAAGTCATGGCAGTGTTAAGAGGAGAGGCTTATCAAATGTCTGACTGTTGCTTTCGTTAAAGGATATTTTAGTGGAACTTCTTAAGCCATAATCACATACTAACCTAAGCCCCTTTCTTCTAAGGGTATGGCAGCAACAGTTGCCGCTACAGACCAACAAACAATTACACGTGTTAGCTTCTGTGCGTACACACTTGCATTCGGTACATATTCTGCGAGCCCCACGCACACACTGACCCCCTGAGAACACTCAATTTCAACATGTGTGCACCCCCATCACCTGTCATCCAACCACTGATTTCCATTTCAGTCTGTGTTTCCCATAAACAAACACGCCCCTGCAGTGATTTCCATAAAGCCGTCTGGGAGCAGCTACACTGGAGTATTTCCAGGTCACACGACTGTCCATGACAAACGGAGCTCAATGAGGTTTGCCACCACGCTATTTCTGAGATGAACAGATGCTGCTCCCATGAGTGATTGGCAAACAAACACTGACCAAAACAACATCATTCAGGTGAACTGTGTTGCTGGCAAACACATCATTTAACTAAAAGTCATATTTTTTCCCACAAGCCTACACTCTCGAGGCCTCCCCACCCCCCTGTTGAGTGTGAAGTGTGGAACAAATCACCACATTCCAAGTCCATATACAGTCAGGAAAATCTCTCAACATGAGTCATGTTTACCTTATTGAGTATGGTCAAGGCAGAACGTAAAGCGATATGGAAACTGGGGTCCGCGCAAACATAAATGTTGAAATCCTGAGGTGTGTGTGACTAAGTTTAAAGGCAAAAGATACGTGCAAGGGATATCTGCAGAACAAAGAAGGTTTATGTGAAGACACAGACTCCAACTCAAAAAAACTTGAACAAAACAGACCAATCAAACCAAAGCCTTGTTGCTTAAACATCAGAATCTTATTTGATGTAGTATTTGTAGGCTTGAGGCAGAATGATTTGGCTTGACACTCCTAGACACTTCTGGGACCTACCAGACGAGTTTACTTGGTGAAGTCTGGACTGATTTCACCTCTGTTTCAGCAGAGAGGAAGCTGAAAATCAAAGTAGTGCGCCATATATTATTAATAATGTCGATTTGGCCCTGCAACCTCTTCGAAGCCTTTCCCGTCATCGAGAATGTCAAGTCCCACAGAAACTTTTCTTTCTCTCCAGACTTTGATGGAACACAAGCTTTTTTGTGTTTCACCCCGCAGCAATGACAGGAGTTACATGAAATAGTCCTCACTCGGAGAAGCTGACAGATTTATTGATCCATCTCGAAAACAGTAACTGCATGTGCCCGGGGGTGGGAGCCACCATTACCACCGAGAGCTTTTTTTCTCCTCCTGTGTGGAAGCAGCTTGATCGGCTGTAAAACCGCAGAGAGCAGCTTGTCATCAAACATGGGGGCGCGATTTACTACCAAAGACTTCCTCTGCAAAACGTATGCATGCTAAACAGCAGTAAAACGTCTGCCATTAGATAAACAAACTGCAAGGATGGAAATCAGAAAGTTACAAGGACGCAAGCTCTACTGTGACACAAAGCACATCTGCAGAGACAAATGGAAAAAGCACCTTGGATTCTTTACAATTAAAGTGTGTGATACATCTCCATCAGAGCAGGTCAGAAACTGCGAGCTTCGGGGAATGTGGCCACTAAATTGAACATCAAGAGCTGAGCCACAATCTATAAAGCACCCGTCTGCAGTGGAGTGTGCTTCACTGCAGCTGGATAAGTGCTCCACCTACTCACCTTACTCTGCTTGACAATATCCAGAGAGGGGCTCTGAAAGTTGTTGGAGAAGAGCAGGACACTGTCTGTTGTCAACTGGCCATCCACAGCCCTACTCACACACATCAGTTTCATACTGTATGCACCAAAGAATGCCTCTAAATGATTTAACTTTGTTTGTTTTGGGGTTTCTTGTTCCTAACGTAGGGTCATGCACCTAAGCACCAATAGCTGATGAAGGTATTGAGTGGATGTAAGGCAATTCAATCTTTTATTCACTCTCATTGATCAACCACTACAATTTAATAGTATATGTTGTTGGTAACTCGTGAATTATTAATTGCGCTTTATTTTTAGGGGGATTGATTCTACTTTCTAGTTAATATTTATTCGTTTTCCATCAAACAACACTTACTGTTATTTGCTCCATGGGAGAAGCAGACATGAAAAATGAATGGAGACGATTAAACTGTTGTTTCCATCAAATACACGACACAAGAAAACTCATTAACAGCACGGCTACAAAAGTCTGCCTTGTCAAACCCTGCAGGCACAGTATCTGCAGGCTCATTAGACAAGCGCTGAGTGGAATGTCCTCCAGTACCTGAACGTATCGCTGAACACCAGCATGCACAGAGATGAGCAATATCTGCAGTATTCAGCACCAACAGCCAGCTTGGATGAGCTTTGGTAAACAAGGCAAACGCCAATATGCCGTCAGCACAGTACGACAACCTCTAAGGGGACAGAAGTCAAAGTAAACAACCAGTGGATGCACAACAAAGAGACCTTTTTTTTTATTTCTCCATGAAATCTCCTTCAGGTTAACTTGTGAGCTGAGATTGAGTGAATGTGAACTTCTATACTGTTATTCAGATGTGTAATAGGAAACCCCAACACTAACTTTACTAAAGAATTAAAAGGAAACAGAACTTTAATGTGTTTGTGTACTACATTATAACATTCAGTAAAACTGCAAAAGACAACTAGACCTGCAATTAATAATGTTTTTTCTTCATTAATCAATTATTTTCTTCATTAATCAATTAATTGTTTGGTCAATGACATGTCAAAAAATAGTTTGTTGTTGTTTATGATTAGATATTTTAATTCTCTATGTACAATCCTTTAACAAAGGAGAAGCTGGAATTAGAAAATGACTGGCATATTTCTTTAATAAACAAATGCTTAATCAATTATTTGTATAGATCAGATTAATATTCTGTCAATTGACTTATCAAGTAATAAACTATAGCTG